ATTTCTTATATATATATATGGTATCAGATTGATGTAATTTCTGTGCACTGAGGACAAGCAAGTCCTAGGTTACAAACTGAACTCTCCAATGCAAGAACAAGATGCATTTCTTCCTTTAGGAGGGGCGATTGTCAGAAGAAAATTAAAAAGTTCCAGTTTTGTTTTTGCATGTGGGTGGGTATTCTGTAATAATTGTTTGTATACACTATATTTTTAATATGCTAGTTGTGATAATTTCATGCCAAGTAAAAATGTCCATAGTCATATTTTATGTTCCTAAAGTAACAGAATGACTTTTAAACTAGAAAAGACAAAAGAAATGCTAATGTAACATTTTTTCCCCCAATTTTTCTGAAAATTTCCGTTTCCCCCTGAAAAAAAAACGGGTTTTTTTCCGAGCTTCAAAATTTCCGGAAATTTTACATCTCTATTCAGAGGTGGTTTGCAGTTGCCTGCCTCTGCGTAGCCACCCTGGGCTTCCTGGGCGGTCTCCCATTCAAGCACTAAACCAAAGCCAACCCTGCTCAGCTTCTGAGATTCGACAAGATGAGGCTAGCCTGGGCTATTCAGGCAACAGACGTTCAGAGGCGGGTTGCCACTGCCAGCCTCTGCATTGTGACCCTGGACTGGGGTGTGTGTGTGTGTGTGTCTCCCATCCAGATATCAAACCACAGCTGACCCCGCTCAGCTTCCAAGATCTGACGAGACTGCTTGGGGCAAGGAAATGTAGCCCTAATGGCAGAGCTGCAACTCGGAGACTGCCCCTTATTTTTAACCACGTAACTGCAGTGAGAGATGCTGACTCCACAACCCCTCCCAAACAATGCCTTCCGGAGACCTGCTCATTTGCTGCAAGGCCACTTGCTTCCGGAGAAGATGGTGAATCATGGGATCCAGAAATCAAGCGGACTAGAACCATCGCAGCCATCTCTTCCCCTGCTACATAAAAGGTGCACCCTCTCGGTGATCACCTGACACTGTCCCTGAATGGCTTAAAGCCCCAAATCTCGTTCCCACGCCCTGCCCTTCTGGACACTAGCCAAAGCGAGAGAGAGATTAACAGCAGTGCAAATGTTGCATTTGGGTCCTGGCAACCCTTCTGTTTCCTTACCTAGTTTAGGCAGGTACACCTGACTCATCCCTGACATTTTTGTCGCCCGGCTGTTCCGCCACGCCCACTGACAAGGGCATCTTTTAGGCTCCCTGTTTATTCATGCCCTCTCCGGCGCTTTGGGGAAGAGGCAGAGCATAACCACATCATGTGGGGCCAGCCCCACTGTTAAAGCCTCCTTCCTGAAGGCACTTTCCCACAGTCCTTCTGGGTGGAAGGGCCTCATCTGTCAGAAATCGCTAACTTTTTGATTTCTCCCTGCGTCGCCGCCTTCAAAACATTTTGTTTGGCCTCCCCTACCCGATCCACCTGCAGATCACCCTACACAAAAACCAAGCTCAGGTTCTGGATTCGAGTCCACCAGCACCTTAAGAGACCAACAAGATCTTCAGGGTGGGAGCTTCCCAGAGTCAAAGCTCTCTCGGTCAGATACACGTTCTTGTGGCCCTTTCTTACACACCCAGGGACGTGCCGATTGGCACTTTGAGGTCAGGCAGCAATTTTCCTCCAGACCAGCTTGGCCAGGGACAATGCTGTAGAGTCTTGAGAGCAAAAATTCTACTTTGTTGAGCTAGGGGCATTAAAGTTGTGAGCATTAACTAGGGGCATTAAAGCTGTTAGCAAGCGATTTGGGTACTGCACAAATTAGTTTGCTCTGGAGCCCTCCTCCCTGAGCCAAGACAAAAATGTGTGAGCCGGAGGCTAAAAAACTGTGAGCTAGCTCACACTAACTCAACTTAGAGGGAACACTGGCCAGGGATCCTGGAGGGTTGGTTCCCCCCCCCATCTTCTGGGCATGGAGCAGGGGTCACTGGGGGTGTGCAGCGGGAGGTATTTGTGAATGTCCTGCATTGTGCAGGGGGTTGGACTAGATGACCCTGGAGGTCCCTGGAACGGAGACCCTCCTTGTATCTGATGAAGATATCTGATGGTATCTGAAGAAATGAGCAGCGACTCACGAAAGCTCCTCCCCCCTGCCACCGATTTTGTTAGTCTTGAAAGGTGCTACTGGCCTCTTACTCTTTCCTACTGTATCTGAGGAAGGCAGCTTTGGCTCTAGCCGCTACCCCAAAATTCCTGTTGGTCTGTAACCCGCTACCATAGTCGACTGTAGCCCTTCGACAACACCCCAACCCAGCTAACCCTCGGAAGACTCAGTTCTGCACTGTGTGATTCTATCCAGCCGCTTTTAACGATGTCAAAGGATGTTTGGGAAAAGCGCCTACTGAGGTCTGTTTCAACAGCTTGGGGAGGAGAGAGAGATCACGGTTAGTTGCCAAAAGAAGGCACGACTCTTTACAAAAAACAAAACAACCACATGCGCCTACAGAGCGCGGGCCCCTTTCCACGCCAGCCTCTCCCCACTTCCTTTGCAAAGCCGTGCAAAACTTTTAACCGAGCGGCGAGAGTCAGCGCCTTGTCTCCTGATCCCAGCCAACGCAGGGCGGAGGAGCCCGAGGAAGAAAGAGCCGCATCGCCCACCTACCTTCTCGCGACTTTTCTCGTTCCTCTCCCAGCCCCACCGGCTGGTCGCTTCGATCCGCGTCTTGGGGAAAGGGATCGCGGCCGTTTCTTCGAAACCCGCGCAGTTCTCACGATCGCTTTTTCTCCGGGGCTGGCAGGTCCGCTCGGAGAAGCCCTCGGCGGGCCAGCAGAGCCTCTCCCCTCCGCCCGGCTTGGGCACCCACCTGAGCCCCCCACCGCGACGCGAAGACTGGCGGGGAAGAAAACATCAGAAGTATCTTCGGAACGTTGCAACTCCCCGACGTTCCATTCGCTCCCCCCTTCCGGAGGGCGGGCAGCCAATCAGCGCGCCGCGGCCGCCAAAGCAGGACCGTCCGGTTCTGGAACGCTCAGACTCAGCATTCCAGGCTGGCCACGCCCCCGAGCAAAAAAGAAAAAAAAAAGAGTGAGAGAGACGACCAATCAAGAGGGCGCAATCAGAGCCTGGCGAGTGTCGATGGGCGGGTAGAAAAAGGACAGAACAAAAGTCAATAGGAGCCGGGCGGTCATGCGCTGTGGAAGTCATTGATGCAAAGCTAGATGTAGGCAACTTTGCTTAGGAGTAAGTCCTTCCAACTAAGGGAAGGGAAAGTTTCCTGTGGGGGGCTGTTAGGGGTGCTAGGTGGGGGATGGGAGAGTAGGGTTGCCAGACAGTCCCGGTTGGGAAACTCCTGGAGATTTGGGGATAGAGCATAGGGAGGAGAGAGACCTCAGAGGGTACAATGCCCCAGAGCCCCCCCTCCCAAGCCGCCGTTTTCTCCAGGGGGGATTGATCTCTGTAGCCTGCAGATGTGTTGCAATTCCGGGGGATCCCCAGGTCCCCCCTGGAGGCTGGCATCCCTGGGCTGTGGCTCAGTGTAGAGCATCTGCCTGGCATGTAGAAGATCCCAGGTTCAGTCCCCGGTATCTCCAATTAAAAGATCTGGCAGTAGGTGATGTGAAAGACTTCTGCCAGGGACCCCAGAATGCTGCTGCCAGTCTGAGTAGGCAATGCTGACAGTGATGGACCAAAAGGGTCAGATTCCGAATGAGGCAGCCTCTCTGCAAAATCATTCAGAGCGCAAAGGACGCCCAGGGAACTAACGGCGCCCCCAGTGGTCAACCGTGGAAGTGATACTTTAAAACTTTGTCAGAACGGTTATGATTGCCCCTAATTGCAGGATTTTAATGAGGCAGAAGCCCCCAAAGGAATGTTTTGTTTGGTTTTTTGGTTAAACCACACCAGTCGTATGATTGTCTGTAGTGTTGATAAATAAGCATGGGCACTTTAAAACATTTCTAGAAGAGTTATGGCTGCTCTAAACTACAGGGTTTTAATATGAATGTTTATTGTATGAATGGTGTTTTGGAACATTCCCCTAGAGAATGTTTATTGTATGAATGGTGTTTTGGAACATTCCCCTAGAGAATGTTTATTGTATGAATGGTGTTTTGGAACAAGGATGATAAAACAGGCACTTTAAGGAAGGAGAGAAGAGATTGGATTTATACCCCGCCCTTGACTACCCAAAGGGTGTCTCAGAGCATCTTACAAACTCCTTAACCTTCCCCTCCCCACAACAGACACCTGAGGTAGGTGGGGCTGAGAGAGCTCTTGACAGAAACTGCTCTTTTTCAAGAACAGCTCTGACAGAACGATGGCTTGCCCAAGGTCATCCAGCAGGTGCAAGTGGAGGAGTGGGGAATCAAACCCGGTTCTCCCAGATTAGAGTCCGTGCACTTAACCACTACACCAAACTGGAAAGGCGTTCTTGACACAGCTGCTCCTGGTTATGAGGCTTGGAATGAAAGAAATAGAGCAAAACCCCAAATTTGCGGCTACCTGATTGAATTTGAAAGATATGCTGTCTTAGATAGGTGATTATGTCTGCTGCAAGGGGTAAGTGGGCTCTTTTAACAATTTTAATAATTATAAATAAGGTGGAATGAAATTATATTGATGTATTAATATTTTTGTTTATTTCAGTTCTGATGGAAGCCTAGACAATGCTGCTATCTTAAGAGCTTTTGTGCTCACAAAGAAAAATCATTGCGCCATATGTCCTTTATATAAACATCACGGTCCTTGAAAAAGTGTTATTCGAAACGGGTCAATTACTAGAGTCCCGTGGGACTAGTGACGGTGTTACTGACAAGGCGCTCTCTGAATGCAAACCTGCACTCGATGTATCGTTTGGATGAAACATATTTTTCCTCTATGTATTGTTTGGGTGGAATATATTTTTGATAATATTTGATACCAATATTTAGACAACAGTATTGAAAAATATAAAAAGAAAAAGAATAAAGCATAAAATTGTTCTACCATAAACATATATGGATTGTTCACAGTGACATATATTTTTGTACGTCTTCCTAACTCTGTGACCCTCATTTTTTGTATTAACCTCCAGATGATGGCTGGAGATCTCCTGCTATTACAAGTGGTCTCTTGTTCACAGTGACATATATTTTTGTACGTCTTCCTAACTCTGTGACCCTCATTTTTTGTATTCACCTCCAGATGATGGCTGGAGATCTCCTGCTATTACAAGTGGTCTCTAGGCAACAGAGATCAGTCCACCTGGAGGAAATGGCTGTTTTGGAATTTATTTATGTATTTAATTGTATTTATACCCTGCCCTCCCCGCGAACGGGCTCTATGGCATTATGCCACACTGAAGTCCCTCCTCTCCCCAAACTCCACTTTCCACAGGCTCCACCCCCAAAATCTCCAGGTATTTCCCAACCTGGACCTGGCAGCCCTACCTCTGTTCCATTCTTACAACAACCCTGTAAGGTAGGTTAGGCTGAGAGTGTTTGACTGGCCCAAGGCCACCCAGCAAGCTATGGCGGAGCGGGGATTCAAACCTGGATCTCCCAGATCCTAGTCTGTCTCCATTGCACCATAGCTGGCTCTCTCCTCCTA